AATTGAGGCCAAAAGTTATCCTTGGTCTGGTGCAAACACAATCCATTCTAGGACTGACTTACATTTGATCATATATATTGTCTTGCTCAAACAAGTTCTATTCATAATATCACTCACTAGTCTTTTTGTTTGCTGGATTTTTTTTCAATTTCACGGACCATTTCACGGACATGCCCATTATTACTAATTAGCGCTTCAAATATAGAACTCTGTTGACCCCCGTTTGACCAAACTGTATGAGTGAAACTTTTGGCTTAACCCCTGCAACGACATCCTGTATTATGTTTTTTAGCATACCGTACTTGCTATGAACCATTCTAATTACTTATAATTATATTAACAGCACCTCTATATTTTGTTATGCATGTGCACGAAAATCGAGCTTTTTTTCAGGTCTTTTAGAATTCAGGGGTGCATGCAAAAAATCAGAGAGATTCGCAACTTAGATTCGGTGAAATGAGGTCGACAAGTTGTCCATTAGATGTTGTCCGGACTATAAACTGTGTTCCCCTCGTGATGATGACTAATTTTGGGTTGCTGATGACGAAAATCTTATTTGGCCAATATTTAGGGAACTTTTGGAATTAATTTAACCCCCACCCCACCCCAGCTAACATCAAAGAAGCCTCTCCCTCGTCGTCATGCCCTCAGTTCGACGGCCGGTAAATAAATGTGGTGGCTGGACTGGGAACCCTTCGATATATCGAGAGGATTGCCCATTTCCACGCCCAGTTTTACGGGAAGTTGACAGGATCCCCGCCATTCTTTCGATATTCTACAGTTTGTCGATCAATGAACTGCACGTGTAAATGGGCCAGGCAGAAAAAGGTCTAGGGTCCGGCGGTAGACTGCTGAGGCCAAGACCAGAAATATATCGCGGTAGACCGTTAAATGGTCAAATAAATGAAAATCGTTGCGCTAGACCGTCATTTAAACTTGCACCTACATGTATAAGACGATATAGGCCCAGACCAACAATATTGTATCATTGTATTGCATTCTTTAGAAATCTACCTTTGCCTGTCACCGTCAAATGTGGGGAGACAATGGATATCCTACTGACAAAGCGACTCAATATACGATTATAAGAGCAGAATTCGGCTGCCAGAACTGTTTCTGTACAAATATAACTTCGTCAAATGTCGAAGCAAATATGGTTTCAGACCTCTTATACTTATAGATAATATCTTCTACTTTTAACTTATTTTCTCGACTTGAGCCTCCAGCAAGCGTGATCTGTGCGTTCGGTAGTAACCATCTTCGCGTTTGAATCGGATCTTCTCTTCGATCTTAGGACAAGGTTAGCACAATTTTCCCCTTTTTTAAATTAGGCCAACGCACGCGTATCACAGACATAGTTGAGTTCACTGAAATAAATATATAATAGCCTACGATAAAACTTTTCCTCTATCAAGCTCGGAAAAAAAACCCCATCGACTAGATCTACCTATAAAAAAAAGTACTACTACTAGATCCACTACTCGTAGGTCGTCTGCTTCCTCTAGGCCAAGGCAACCACTAACTTCAGAACTGTGCGCCCAATAAACTTCGGAAAAGGACGCCTCGATAGGCTATTTAATGCAAGTCAGTGTAAAATCGAGCTGCGATGGGGGAGGGGAGCGCAAGGCTATAAGATCTAGTGATCATCGAACATTCCCGTCCGACTGACGCTTCTCCACTCTCCAGAGAGGTCGCCAGCAATACTGCAACAGCAACGCGCAGTGGCCAAGGCCCAAAGCCAAACGCAGTGCTTGTATCGACACGCAGACGCCTCAGTCGGCACGAGGCCATTGCTCGAGCTCGTTTGTTTCGGCGGATGAAGCAAAGGCGTTGCATTGTGGGAATGACGTCAAGTTCTTTTAGGAAGGCGACCACGGCTATGGATTTGGTCACTAAAATTAGCTATTGAGTTGGTTTGCCTGTATATGCTACAGTGTCATGGTGCCCATTTTGGTATGAATGTATTTATTACTGCGTGATGGCAAGGATTCGCTGTAACTATTGCCAAAACGAGATTTATGGCTACCGACTGCGATGCGCCGAGTGTGAAGAGTTTGACCTTTGTTTACAGGCAAGTGTGACGTCACGTGTAGCGAGCCAAGCTTACTCTGCAATTTAGGTCAATGATCTCAAGTTAGTATTTTTGACGTATTTTGCCGGTATTATGATTGCACGGTTGCAATATTCATATTTTGTTTTGTTTTTCCTCTATTTCAGTGCTTTTCGCTTGGCGCTGAAGTAGCTGCCCACCGAAGGGAGCACTCTTTCATCATAAAGGTAGGCAAGGCCAGTGCCCAAGCTTTCCAACGGCCGAAGTTGGGATCTTTTTTTTTTTTTAGTATGGCGACAGTTGGTTGTCTCCCCCCCCCACCTCCTGCATGCACAGTGCGTGCTTTCCCCTTCTTTTCCTTGCAGGTCTTACCTTTGTTGATGTAAATTCCCCCACCCCCTTTCCCTCAAGAAAAACCCTGTCCTGTCTTTGTCACTTTAATTTTTACTGTTTTAATATTAATGCTTGCCCTGTCATTTTGTTGAATGTTTTTTGCGAATTTTGTGGTGGGGACCCACACTGTGGCCCACAGGTTTCCCACTCCCATTTTTTTTCAAGATTTTGAACTTTTTCAACAAAGGGTTAGATGCTAGATCTAGAATCTAGATCTAGAATCTAGATCTATGTATTTTATATGATTGGATAGGTCTTTTAAAGAGGAATTTGAAAATGTTAGTTAGACAGCAAAGGCAAAGGCTTGTGAAAAAAGTAATTGAGGCCAAAAGTTATCCTTGGTCTGGTGCAAACACAATCCATGAATGTCACCAAATTTAGTTTAACCCTCGTCCTGCGGGGCCAGGTTTATATAATGTCTCCCGATAAGCCTATTTCAACACCTCGCCTTCGTTCCTGTCCCGTGTCAGTCTGGCTCAGTGCACACGCGCTAAGCATCATCTGCGTTCCATTCGGGTCCAGCGTCTGACCTGCATTCACGCAGCTCAAGTGTATGTGAGTCAGTCTGCTTGAGTTTGTGTGCGTTTGTGGCCTACTTCTAGAACCGCCTGCGTTGGTTCGTAACCGAGGCATACGTCTCATTCAAAACACGCCAAGTTGGTAGCTCAAGATGTTCGTTCAATGAAATTAGAAGAAATTTCCCACTTAGACTTAGACATGAGGAGCTCGTAAAGATAGTTTTAGGAAACGGAGTGTCTACGTACACGGTAACCGGGCGCGTAGCCTCAGGGTCTACGTACACGGTAACCGGGCGCGTAGCCTCAGGGTCTACGTACACGGTAACCGGGCACGTAGCCTCAGGGTCTACGTACACGGTAACCGGGCACGTACGGCCCCCTCAGTGTAAGTACCAGAAACTAAATTTTTAAACTAGCTGTATGCCAAATTTATCTGTTCCATTTGAAAGGCCTATATCCACTGAGCA